CAGATAGCATTGATCTCCTCAAGATTTCAACATCAGGATCATCCAATTCAAATGTTGTCAAAACTTCCAATGGTGTTTCATCTAATGACGATGATGATATGAGCATTGAAGATGATGATGGTGATGATGATAATGAATATGACTATGATGACAATGATGACAATGATGGTTTTTTGTATGATGATGATGATTATATGACTCTGCAATCTCATTTTGATAATGTGAACTTGCCTCCTGGGGTAGAAGCTCCACTGCCCTGGTTGAATGATCCTTCACCAAGTGAGAACTTAGCATCCACTAAGACGTTAACTATTTCAGATCTACCACCATGTAGTTCAACTGTTCCTTCTGAGTCAAGTTCTAGTACGAAACCAGCAGACAGCATTGATGACTGTATCATTCAAAATTCTCAACAGTTTAAGCAATTTGATATTGTGGAAGATTTCTCGGATCATCACTATAGCCGCATGGGATTTTCAGATGAGCAGGTGAGTTTAATTACTTAAACTTGAGCTTTACACCTGCCCCCTCCCAAACAGATGTGTGAACATGTGCAGGTGCCCACATTTCACTTCACAGATGTGCCTGGTCTGGCTGAATATGCGTCTTACAGATAAAAATGCACAGGCCTGAGAGCACACACAAACTAACACACCCCATATTGGGGTAACCATTTCCCATGGGTTGTGGGGAGGGGGTGGGTTTGAGGTACCAGGACATGCACTTATGTATGGATGTGTGATCATGTACTAATCTGTGTCTGTTTATTGATAGCCACCCAAGTCTTGGGCAAAGAGAATTCAGGAAGAGTGGAAAATTTTGGAGAAGGACTTACCAGGTGAGGTGTACCATTATGTCTAGTGATTCACCATGCTTCTGTTATGTCAACAGCATGGGGGATGTATGGTTTGAGCCTTATTGTGTTTGATTTTTTATGTAATTGAATGTAAGCAATTCCAGAAATGACTAACCTTTTATATTGATCATACCAGTGTTGGAATAATTTTTGTGTTTGTAAGGTTGTATCTCCCTTTGCTATCTCTGTTTTCCATTAGGAATTTCACCTATTTTGGGAAATCAGTTCCTTTTGGGTCATTTCATGGCATTAGTTTAGTAGGATGTCTTACTTCCTCTCTCATTTTAATTTTCCTTTTGCAGACACTATATTTGTAAGGGTTTATGAAGCAAGAATGGAACTTTTGAGGGCAGTTATTATAGGACCTCCAGGGACTCCCTACCATGACGGTCTTTTTGTCTTTGATTGTCTCTTCCCCACTAACTATCCTAAGTCACCACCGGTATGTATTTGGTACCACTATTTGGCTTTTATTGTATATTTGGTCTGTTGTATGTATTGACTTCAGAATTTCTTCTGTCAGATGGTGTACTACTATTCAGGTGGTCTTCGATTAAATCCAAATTTGTATGAATGTGGGAAAGTTTGTCTCAGTCTCCTAGGCACTTGGAGTGGAAAACAAAATGAAAACTGGGTCCCAGGGCAATCAACAATGCTACAAGTTTTAGTCTCTATACAAGCTCTTATTCTGAATGCAGACCCCTTCTTCAATGAGCCGGGGTATGATACAACATATGTTGGAGCAGAAGGGCAAAAGAGGTCCAGGAGCTACAATGAGGAAGTATTTATTTTATCCCTAAAGACGATGATGTATACACTAAGGAGGCCACCTAAGGTATAATTACCGCGACCATCTGTTACAATTCACTTTGATCTTTTATTTGCAAAAAAAGTTTTCTTTCCTTGCCGGAGGACTGATTTACTAGATTGTCTCTATTGAAGTTTGAGTCTTTTGCAAAACAATAGGGAGTTTTATTTCCCAGAGTTGTGGTTTCTTGGGTTGAATCGGTTCTGAGTCTAGCATAATTGTAAGACTTAATTGAGCTAGGCTTGTTTTCTCTGCTTACTTTAGTTGTTAGCAAACTATGTTGTAACCATAACCCGCCAAGTTCCACAACGGAATTAGAAGGGATGCAATGAGGAAGGGTATAATATGGTCAGGAGGCAGAGGAATGTGTGCTTTATCTTTTACTCTATTGTCCAATATTGGCGATTATTTTAACCTGAGATGGGGCAGGATTTGGATATTGTAGATTTACCCATGGATATTCAGGTATGGTTTGAGATTCATTCAGTCTTGTCCTGGCCTGTGCTGCTCTGAATATTCATATTTTAAAGAAATTCAAGCACAATTTATCTAATTTAAAGAGTGGCAGAATCTGTTAGACACGAGTTTATTTTGGGAGACTTTGATGTGGTGAAAAAGTTTAGGATTGTGGTTGTATTTGGGCTTGGGATACTGGCTGCAGGAAAAGATGACAGTAGCTAGCAATTAAATAGAGACAGGATGAGATTAGAACTGTACAGTGGGGCTCCCTAGGCATGACTTGTAGGCTTCTTAGACAGGAAGCTGTACTCGGATGTACAATATGAAATAGATAGCCAGCTTTAGTATCTGTTAAACTTGGAGTCCAGGGATGCTATTTTGTCTGAGCTAAGAGCTACTGGATTACCATCTATTACTCATCTAGGAAACAAATATTTTGTTATTTCACATGGAGAACTATCGAGTTATTATGGCGTCTATGCAAAATGAGTGAGGAAAACGTGGATCATCTGTTTTTACATTGCCCTTTTCTTCAAGTCTTTGGTGGACCTTGTTGAGGGAGGTTAAGTCTGTTTGGGTTATTCCAAAGGGTTGTTTTGATTTTCTCAGTTCCCATGTTGTCGTATGGGGCAGGGGGAAGCGTGCTTCAACCTTATGGGGCTGTTTGGTGCAGTCTGTATTTTGGAACATATGGCTGGAGCGTACCGGGAGGATCTTTGATGAGTATGATGGAGTGGGTGTTGGTGAATTATGGGATAGAGTTCAATTCTGGGCAGCTTTATGGGCTTCTGTCACTTCAGATTTCAAAGACTATTCCTACTCCACTATATTGAGGGACATGGCTGCTGCTGTGATGTGAAGTGTTTTTTTGAGTCTTGTTTATTTTTAGCTTTTTGCTGGATCTTGTTCGATTCTTTCTGGCTCGTTTCTTTTGGCCCTTCTGGTGTTGCAGACTCTGTGTAGTTTGGCTAGTGTCTTTGTTTTAGCGTGTCTGATTCTGGTTCTGGTTTCGTCTGTTATTCTGTTGTAGCTCGTTTGGCTTGTGGATGCCTTATCCACTTGGTTTTGTATCTAAAGCTTGCAATTGTTACTTGTGTTCTATGCCAAAAGATAGCAGAATATAGGGAGCTCAAATATGGTTGATTCATTGTGTTATATGACTGCTTGTTGTAGAAGTACTTTGAGAGTACTAACTTTATTATTTTTTAGCATTGTTATTTGTCATTAATTGTCAGGTATGTAACTAATGGACCTTAAGTCATGATATATAAATTTTGCTTTGTGAGTTTCCATGCGCTTTGAATTCCTCTGGTTTTTCCTTCTGTCACAATCTATGGAACCACTGGGTATATATGTTAAGTGATGAAATATTTATTATTGGAAAGTATATTATGGAAAGGTTCAAAGAAATGCTCTGTATTCCAAAAGGGGAAAGAAGAAAAAAGAGAATTTTCATAAACTAGAAAATCATTTCCTCATGTATTTACTTGGATCGTATGAAAATTTGATTAAATTTTGGATCTTGTAATTTCTGTATTTTTGTTACGGAGTTTTTATTGGCACTTGAGAAAACTCATCCTGCACTCCACTGTAGAAAAAACAAGGAAGGAGCACATGATGACTTTTTTGAAGTGCCAATAACAGTTTCCTTATGAGGTATGGTGGTGGTTTGCGAGGTGAACATTAGAACACAATACCTCACTCTTCTTTATGGTTTAGTGTGGTTTTAGTAGCGTAGCTGAAAAGTGAATTGTGAGACAGTTCGTATATTATCTTTTGTTTTGAGAAGCACTTTCTCTTTTGTGTCTTATGTTTGTAATTCTATGGCTAAATTAAGTGTACTGAGATGAACATTAGAACACAACACCTCACTCTTCTTTATGGTTTACTGTGGTTTTAGTAGCGTAGCTGATAAGTGAATGGTGAGACAGTTTGTATATTATGTTTTGTTTTGAGACGCACTTTCTCTTTTGTGTCTTATGTTTGTAATTCTATGGCTAAATTAAGTGGATTTTCTTGCAGTATTTTGAGGACTTTGTCTTGGGTCATTTTCGCAACCGTGCACATAATATTCTGGCAGCATGTAAAGCATATACTGAGGGCACTTTAGTAGGGTCTGTTAGCGGAGATGCAGCCCAGAATGGTGAAAATAGTGGCTCAAAACAGTTCAAGTCAAGTGTAGCTAGGATGATGAATATGCTTATTACAAATTTCACCAAAAATGGATCAACAGAATGTGAGCAGTTTCGAATTGGAGCCTAAATCACAATTGACTAGCTGACATGATGGGACTGGGAAGGTAATAAGAGCTAAAGATACATTGGCATGGTGAAACAAATTCCTCGGACATGCATATAGTATTTGTGTTCCCCATGTGCTTTTCAATGCTCTGCTATTTTGGAATTGGTTGGTTAATTTTCAGTATGTTTTATGTTTTGGGATTCCTGGCATATGTAAGTATAAGGTAATGACTTTGAACGGGACTTGGCTCATTGCTATTGTGCTCTAATTGGAATGAATATGGCCGTATTAATATATGCTTTATGCCAATTCTGGCCAAAACATTTCTTATTCCAATTCCTCAATACTCAATCCATACCGAGATGTGTGGCGAGTAATACTTTCCGATCACTGGTTGTGCACGGCCATATCTACCTCTTTCATCTATATGACCTATCTCCTGATAAGAGGCACATGGTCGTGTACAACCGGTAATAGTGAAAAATTCTGGTAACCATGTTACATGGTACTCAGATAAAAGAATCTCTATTTTTCGGTAATAAGTCAAACCTGTTACTCAGGAAACAAAGCTTGATTCAAATTCGCCTGTCCATATTTAATTTTCTTTTTCAGACGCCTACCCGTATTTGATGGGTCTAACACTGGGATTGGATATACAATATACAACTTACTTCGCTACAAGCAAGAGCTCTCACTCAACCTCCTTGTTTTAAGTAAACAACTCTTTTAACTATTCTAAATTTCTAACCTAATTGCCAATGAGGTTTAGCCAAGTGAAATAGGGAATTGATTTGCAGACCTGTAAGAAAACTGAAAGCCCTATAGTTTAGATTATTACTTGTATTAAAAAAGAAAAAACAATTCTAACCCAATTAAAATTATATATAGGTTTCACGTTCACTTTGTTTTCCTTTGTTCCTGCCATCTTCTCCCCCTCATCCCCTTTTTCTCTCTCGCTCTTCCCTTACTCCTCATACCCTTTTTCTCTCTCTGGCTCTTCCCCTCCCTCTCATCCCCGTTTTTTCTCTCGCTCTTCCCCTCCTTAGCCATCTCCATCCCTTCGCCGGATTGTATTCTCTAGGTTTTTCATGTTTTCATGCTAATGACTATGTTCTCTGTTGATGCTCTTTTTGGAAGGTCAACTTAGAGAAAAGGGGGTTGTCTTCAGTAGTGGAGAAGGTGAGAACCTTCGGTAAGGGAAAAGCCTGCAGAAGACAAAGTAGGAGAAACAATCGTTAAGCTTCAGACACCGGTGTAGTGCCGGCTGAAGACTCTCTGATGCTTAAGTCGGCTAAGGGTGGTAAAATTCGTAGAGTAACAGTAAAAGTGATAGAGAAGCTACCCTTTTTACTTAGGTATTGTTCCCTATTTATAGGGAAGTGAAAGTGGGAGGTTTGCATAAAGTTTCGATGTGGGACTTTGTGCAAATCGCCGTGGTGGTGACACGTGTCATGGAGATTATGTTTGGCAGTCGGGAGCTTCGGCAGGTGACTGACACCTTGGAAGAGTGTCTTCCTTCGGCAGGGAGAAGGCGTGTGTACCTTGGTGCTAGTCGTTTTGAGGCTGGATATGCTCGGTTGATTATGATGTAAACAGTAGTCCCCCAAGTTCGAGATTGAGAAGTAACTTCTGGGTTGGGAACTTGTTAGATTCTTGTGTAATCGTGACCTAGCATTCCGACTTCAGCGGGAGCCGTAAGGCATTTCCTAGTCCCCCAAGTTGGCGAGCTAGAAGTTGCGTCACCACTTGGAAGTTAAGGTAAAAGCTGTGTTAGCATCTGGGATTGTTGGTAGCTGGGTACCTTTGAAGGAAAAGTAGACTTGGGCTTTAAAGCTTCGGCAAGCAAATTTACGAGCGCTTGGTACCTACGACCCGAGTCCTGCCGTTCGGCAAGGAGGCTGAGTCATGGCCTTGGCTCGTGCATCTTTGGTAACCAAGTGATGGCTTTAGAAAGTGGGGGCATAGGTCCAAAAAGGTGGGTTGAAGCTTGAAGGAGAACAAAGTGTGAGCTTCAATTTTCCTTTTATGGCCCCTTGCCGTTCGGCAAGCTCCCCCATCTTTTTTGTTTTTGTTTTTTTTTTGTTTTTGTTTTCTTTTAAGGAGCAGTTTGGCCTCCGTATGGCTCGGTAGGTGGGCAAAAGTTGGAACGCGACATGACCCTTGCCGTTCGCCAAGGGGTCGAGAGCCTTGGGATTGGGCCTTATGAGGCGTAAACAGACCTGGGGTCTTGCTGAGCCTTCGGCAAGGAGGTTGGCCTCGTTTTTTTATGGGTTTCAACAAGTGTAAGGCCCTAGGTTTTGGGTGGTGCTACGCATAAAGCTTTAGCCAGGTGAATGCTTGCGCAAGTCACATTTGAACCGTCACGTTTCCTCTATTGCAAACATCTTCTTCCCTCGTGGTCACTGCTTCAGCCTTTAACAGCTTCAGCAATGAAGGATTCGAAGAAGGTTAAATCTATTTCGCCTTTGGCAAGGGTCTTGGTGCTTGAGCTTTTGTGAGTGGGTTATGGAAAAGGAGAAGTTACGACCTTTTCCGAACGGTAAGATGACTGGAAGGAGGCACCACTGTAGCTGCCGCTGAGCTGGTTTGAGATCGTTGGTGCGAGAGCTTCGGTGTTCATGCAAGATCGTCAGTGCTGAACCTTTGGATTGTCGCAGGGAGGAGGGCATTCGTAGCTTCTGCACGACCCTTGCCGTTCAGAGGGTGGATTGAGTAAATTTGGGGCTGTGCAATCGGCTTCAGTCCGCCTGTTAGCCTCATTCGGCAAGTGTCCTCGGCAGGTCTGTGAGCTCTTTAGCCTCCGTACAGCCCTTGCCGTTCGACAAGGGTGGTTGAGGGAGAAAATTGGGTGGTCTCTCCGTGAGAAGTGGGTGTGGGCAGATTTGGAAGCTTATTCCCGTTCAGCAGCCGTTTTGACAAAGAATACTTTGGTCCCTCCTTCCTCTCTGCATAATCCTCGCCAATTGGCAAGGTGGCCTGGTGAAAATTTGTGAGGCCTTGGTTCTCCAAGATCGTGTTTGGAGGAAGACCTTTAGCAAGCTTGAGTTGGGATCGTGATTTTCGTGAACTTTCTGTGGTGACCTTTGGTGAGTCCCCCTTCCCTCCGGTCAACCCTTGCCGTTCGGCAAATGTGTCTTGATCAATTTTGTTGAGTCTTTGTTTCCTCGTTTTGCCTTGCAGCTGGTGGGTTTCTAGCAAAAACTTTATTTCGGCAATGTGGTTTTTTGGATCCGGTTCTGGTTCTTTGTGGGGTTTGGTAGATTCTGTTGGAGCTGAAGTTGGGTTCAACAAGAACTTTAGTAAGGCCCTTGCCATTCGACAAGGGTTGCTTGAGGAAATCTTGAGTTGCCCTTTGTCAAACCTTGGAGCCTAGCTTCACGATTTAGCCACATGGTGTGGGTTTTTTTTGTGTTTGAACTGAAGCTGGGCTTCAGTTTCGGCAAGTATTTGAGGCTGGGGATTGGGTTGGGCCTCCCCGGAGGTAAGTGTCTTTGTGGATGCCTCCTTAATTCCGCATGTTGGTTGTCATTCGGCAATGCCCATTCAAGATTAGTCTTACTTGTTAATGGTTGTTTGATCTTGCAGCAGGGTTTCGGCAAGGTGTTGAAGTGTGAGAAGAGACTTGAGGACTTGGGCTCTTGGGAATCCTTGTAGCCGGCCCAATCAAAAGGTTGTCAAGTTTTGGGTTGTGGCAAGGATTGGAGCTTGGGCTTTCTTCGGCATAGAGGGTCTCTTGGATTTCGGTAAGGCTTTTTGCGAGTCCCTCCTATTGTTTCTCCATGGTGACTGCCGTTCGGCAAGGCTAGTGTTCTATAGAATTTGGACAGGGACTTTAGAGCTGGGCCACAGGTCGGGCTTAGCTATATTTTGGACAAGGGGTGAATTGTGACCCCCTTTTATCTTTTGCACGGGCCTTGTCGTTCGGCAAGGTCCTTTCAACTTCCATTTTCGTTTTTTTTTTTAAATTTCAAATTGTGTGTAGGTACAAGGAATTTGGGAGGGAAGATGAAAAGGACCTAGGGTTTTCTCGTGAACCGAGGCATTGGTACCCTTGAGCCTTTATAAATAGGAACTAAGGTGACGAAGGCATCATACTTGAGTTGTGGAGAAAATTTTCTAGAAAGTGAGAAGGAGAAAAAGAGATTTCCGGCGAGATTTTGGTGGTGGTGCTTGCGGCCAAGGTGATTTCCGGTGTCTTATTCATGGTGGTGCAAACAAAGTTAGACCTCATTTCCCTTGAATTTTTGAATCGAAATGTTCTTTTTTGTATGAACATGTTGAAGACTAGGATGAACACCTTGAATATGAGCATGAACCCGATGAACACTTTGAACATTGATATGAACTTGTTGAATGTTGTTCGTAGATCAAAGAGCATGTAAGTGTGCCCTCCTTTTTGTGTTCTTGTGTTTTCGATCCTTCTTGCATGTGCATTAGCTCCCTTTCCTTGTTTTTGTAAATTGTAGATGTCTGAAAGTTCTGATACAGAAAGTCATGATACCCCTGTCTTTGGTGGGGAAGATACTGAGAGTGAAGAGCCCAGCCAATATGTTTGTTCTAAAGATGAGAGTTCCCAGACAGAGGGTGTGGTAGAAGGTATTATAGAAAGTAAAATGGTAGTGCACGAGGGTGAGAGAGGTGAGCCATCAGTAGACTCTAGGTTAGATGCATATAGGGAGATGCAGATGAATTACAAAGTGTTAGAGGCTGTGGCTGATCGGGTTCTAGCCTTGCCTCATACACCAGAGGTGGGCTCGAGCAATCAGGCATCATTGTCAGGGTTTGTGGGTGTAGCTGTGGCTTCAGCTTCAAAGGGGGTGGATATACGGGTTAGTGTCTCTTTGTCAAGGCGTAAGGTACTTACAGAGGTGAAGCTAGCAGAGCTTCGGATAAATTTTAGTGTCCTTCCTTTGGTGGGCTTGAGGTTACCCAGTGCTGCTATGTACCTGCATGGCTTCAGACTACCATTTCATCCTTGCATACAGATGATGTTGGCCAAGTTGGAATATGCGCCAGGGCAATATAATCCCAACTTTTGGATTCTTCTTCATAGGGTTTACATTGCTTGGTGGTTGGCTGGGTTGAGGGAGCCGACGTTTGAGCAGTTTATGTATCTCTACTCGATCTCCAAGCAACAAGGAAGTTTTGGCTGGGTACAGGCCAATTGCTGAAAGGCAAAGGAGAGGGGTTACTTTATTGGTCACAAGCCTTCTACTCAGAAGTCTTGGAGGAACATGTGGTGCCTGGCTTATGGTGACTGGGAGTGTCAACCAGGGAAGACCGTCTCCAACATATTCCTACCCATTTCCAGTCTATAGGTCCTTGGCCCCATCCTTTAAGACTGATTATTGTTTTGTCGTGTTTTTACCTGCTTTGACTCTTGATTCTCCATTTTTGCTTGTGTAAGTGTAAATAGCTGAGTAGTATCTAACCTTTGGTGCAGGTTCGGTAAAGTGGGGGCCAATCTCCAAGGAGCAAGAAGACGAAGTTGAGAGGGTGCGATCACTACTGTCAGAGACCGAGCGTGAGTGTAAAAACCTAGTCACTCAGAAGAATCTGCTCGAGTCTGGCCTTTTGCAAGGAAGTAAGTACTTGGGTCACCTTTGTTGTTTGTCTTCCAATTCCTTTTTGTAGTTATGACTAAGTTAGCTTTTGATGTGCAGTGGCAGGTATCATAAAGGGAAGCACGAAGGTGGCTGTGGATCTGGATGATGCTGAGATGCAGAGACGGCTTAGGGAGTCTCGGGCGCAAAAGGCTGAGAAGGGGGGTGCTAGGCAAGCGACTGGTAAGCGTCCTAGAGAATGAAGGTTTGGTTGCTGATGTTCTAGGAAAGAAGAGAGCGCTAGAGGAAGCTCATCGGAGTGTGATGGGAACAGGGCCGAGGCTTCCTCCCTTTGACCTACAGGCGCAGCCGAAGCTTCCCTTCGGTATAGAGGACGTTTATGCCAAGGGGGTGGAGAAGGTGGACTTCTCCATGCTGCGTCAACAGAAGAACGAGGTGAACTTTGCCATGCATCGGCAGGAGGTTCCCTTGGTGAACGTCTTCCTGGAAGGCGTGAAGAGTGACCCCGAGGTTCTTGCAAGGACACCGACCTTTTCCTATGTAGATCGGGCCCAGAAGACGTTCCTTACCCGTGCCTATGTAAGTTGTCCTGCTTTGTGAATTTGTTCTTATCATTCTAGTTTGCTTCTGACTGATGATGCTTTGTGTTGCAGGCCTATGGCGAGATGTATGGGAATATGGCCAAGGCAGATAAGGAGATCCAGAGATTAAAGAGGTGCAATGAGATGGCTAAGGACAAAATAGCGGAGGCGCAGGAGGCCATCCAAGAGAAGAACGCCCTGCTGTTGCAGAAGGTGGCGCTGGCCAGGGAGGTGGAGGAGCTGAAGCAGTCGAAGGTCGAGGAGGTAGCTATTGTTTGTGCAAATAATCTCGCGGGAGAATATTCGCCTTAACCTTCGATCTTCCTTCTCTCTTTCCTCGATTTCTGTAAAAAAGACTAGAGTAAATAGACCACACCTGGGAGGTGTTGGCCAAAGGCCCACTGATGCCTAAGTTAGTTTGAGTGTTTGTAGGAAAACAATAGCTAAGCAAAGGGTACAGAGTTGTGTTTATGGTGTGAACCGGGCGGCCAGAGCCGTGTGTGGTGGCTGGAGCCATGTGGAGAAAATATGGAGAGTGGAGAGGGAGAGAGAGCTTCGGGTATTTTTCTCGGGTTCTGGAGAAGGTTTAGATGTACCTTGAATGATGAATGAAGTAGTCTATTTATAGGAGCCTCGGGGCTAGGGTTTCGTAGAGAATATGCTGAGTTTATTCTCTACCCAAATTCGTAGGGATCGAGTCGGACTTAGATAATATCTGATTTAATGATATTATCTTCACTTTATTGAAGATAATATCTGAATTAAACGATAATATCTCTTTTTATGAAGATAATGTCTGGATTAATGATATTATCTTCTCTTTATGATGATAATATCGTAATTAATGGTATTATCTCATTAAATAAAGATAATATCTCATTAATTAAGATATTTATCCCAATTAATTAATTGGCCAGATAAACTGGTTCAATTAATTAATTTAAGAGATAATCTTCTTTTCTACGTGGCGTGCCCTGATTGGAGACGAAAATATATGCTCCCACAAATGCCCCCCAGCTTCTGCATGGCGCTTGTGTGGCATGTAGGAGATGAAATTATTATTATTTTTTTTTGGGCTCTCCAACTATGTTTGGGCTTTCTTCTATGAGTTGGACTCCTTTTGCAGATCGGATTCTCAATTGGTGTAGGCTTCTGACTGTTGTTGGAGTTGGATTCCCAGTAGGAATGAGCTTGTGATTCCTCCTTGACCTGGGTTGTCCAACCTGTATAAATACAGGGCTTTTCTTCACTCTTTCTCACATCACAAACTTAACTTCTCTACCTTCTAGCTTGAGAAAGATCTTAGAGAATTTGTACTACTTTGTTGAAGAGAGGAATTGCCGTGCATCCAAAGTAAGTCGAGCTCGTAAAAATATATATGCACATATATATATATATATATTTATTTTTGGCAACAAGGTTGTGGTCAGCATGGGTGCAAATTTGTGGGTCTGTGGGCAAAAATCTGGAATGGAGCTGTGCTTGTGTGTGTTGGGCTTGAAGGGAAAGCATGGAGGAGCCAAGCCCAAGGCAGAAGGATAGAGGCGCTGGGCTTCAGAGCAGAGGCTTGGAGATGCGATGGGCCTTGCACACGACGCAGGCTTGCGCTGGGCAAACAGGGCACATGCGCTGGGCTGGACCATGAGGTGTGTGCTGACGTGGAGCGAGGGGCCTTGTGCGCTGTACAGGCCTGGCGTGACGTGGGCCGGAGGGATGCGCTAGGTGGGCTGCGACGGAGGTGGGCCTTGTGCGCTGTTGGGATGGAGCTGGGTCATGCGCGCTGGGCTGGAGGCGCTGACGGGTTGCCCATGCTGGGCTGCTTCAAAAAAATTTCTTCTCTGCTAGTTTTTTTTTCTTTTTTCTGCCATCTTTTTTTTCTTTTGGGATTCTAACTTTTGGAATTTTCTTCTCTTCTTGCAGTTATTTGTTGACCAACCATGTCTTTCAGAGACGATAGCAAGGCTCCACGCTCTCACGTGCCTTTGTACTTATGGGGAGGTTCCGAAGTGTACAAGAAGAGGTTTGTGGCCAACCTGCACCGTGTTATGAATGAAGGTCAACTCCAGAGGTGGTGGGCTGCTTATGCTTCTGCGATTCCTGACGATGTGCATATTAGGTTGGCGAAGCCTTTGACCGATGCCATGCCCCGCGTGGATGCGAATGATCCAAATGCTAGAATCATCACTTTCCGTCCCTTTTACTTCTCCTTGGGCTTCAAATTTCCGATGTCAAAGCTCTTCAAGGAGGTGTTCTGTGCCATAAGGTGTGCTCCGAGTCAGTATACTCCGAATGTCTACCGGGCCATCATGTGCTTTGAGAACCTGAGCCGTTTCTTCATGCTGGAGCTGACAGTGCGGGAGTTCTTCTATTTTTTCGAAGTGAGACACTTCGAGGTGTATGCCCAGGTTCGCATCTACAAGGTCAAGCTGTTTGACAGTCTTAGTCAAGGAGATCACGCTTGGCATGACGATGTGTTGGAGGTTAGCGGACGGTGGGAAGGTGACGTTGGCGACTGCCCACTTGTTCCCCTCACCTATTGCGACGGTATGTCTTTTTGCGGCTTTTTTTTTCTGCTCCTTTTTATTTGAACTTTTTAAGGTGTGACTGACTAACTTTTGTCTTCTGCTTGTAGTGGATGACATCAGCAAGCCATTGGAGCTTAGGCCTGACATGGTTAAGGTCCGTCGTGCTTTGAACATCCCCCGAAAGTTTCGTGAGTGGCGCTAGCTATTGAGTGAGTATCGGGAGGAAGACGGTGGTCTGCCCCCTGCCGAGGATGTCGAGAGATGGAAGCAGAATGGTCCGGACCTTGATGATCTATCTGCTGAACAAGAGGAGTGCTCTGTTGAACCCCCATAAAAAAGGAAGGCTGATGTCAAGTCTTCAAGAACTCAAGCTACTTCTTCATGGGGGAGGAATGTGTCTCAATTGAGGAAGAAACCAAAGCTCCCTTCTGCTGAGAGGACCCAAATAGGAGTTGTTCCCGCTTTATCTGCCAGGGTCAAGCATCTTGTTGGTGCAGATAGCAAGAAGATTGGTGGTACGCGCAACATAAGGGATGTTCCCCTTAAGCCTCTTGCTGATGAGTTTGGAGATCATGATTTGCTCCGCGAAATGGTCCGTGCGCGGTCTAGCTCACCTGTTGAGAGGCAAAGAGATGCCGATTTTCCTCTCCAAAGTTCGGGTCGCTTGCACCAGTCGAGGAATGGAGGTCGATGTGGGAGGTCTGTTCTTCCAACCAACCACCATGATCCAACTATTGAGTCACATGCAGTCAAGCGTGGAGTTGATTCGTCGTCGCAAATTCCTTTGGAATGAGGTTGGCAGAGGCTAGGAAAGCTAGACAGTCATCTGCCCGAGCGAAAGATTCTTTTGCAACATCAGCGGCTGATCCAAAGGTGGACAAGTCTAGCACTGCAGGGGATGCGAGCGTGTCTGATCTGCTCAAGACGCACTTTCTATCAAGTCCATCCTCTTGTGCTGAGCTAGTTGATCGAATCCGTCAAGCTGCCGATCTTGGTACTTTTTCAAGTCTTTCCTTAGAAAACCAAAGGGAAACAACACTTCATCTGCTTCAAAAGGGAGTAGTTTTTGCTACTGAGACGCCCATTTAGAACTCGTCTGTTGTTGTGCCCTCTTCTACTCAGCTCAGTGAGTTAGAGAAGAAGAATGTCGAGCTAGTTAGCAAACTTTCTGCCGAGCAGACCAGTTATGAGAAGAAAACGTCTGATTTGCGGGCAATGATATCTAAGGTGAAGAGTTCCCTTGCTGAGAAGAATTCCGAGCTTAACTCTTCTGTTGTTGACTCAGCAAGTCGAAAAGATGCTTACTTCCACCTCGAGCGCAAGAATGCCGACCTCTCTCACAATTATGACAAGCTTTTGGCTAAATTTCACGCCTATCATAAGTCTACTGAAGAATCAAAGTTCGAAGCTACCATGGATGCATACAAGTTGGGCTACTTGGACTGCAAAAATGGATATGATCCCTTCTACGCCATTGGAGATGAAGACATTGAGATGCTCTATCCTGACTTGCCCCCTGCACAAAGCGAAGAGGCCAATGCTGTGAACACCGAAGGAGCTGAAAAGCAAATGGCTGAAGAGGCGGTAACTGAAGAGGATGAAGCAGAGGAGGATGCAGCTGATGTGGTGGTGGCAGACGTCATAGATCAGGCATGCAGAGCTGCTGAGAGTGAGGCTGATCGGGTGGACGCTGAAGAGGTTGCAGATCACGGATCTCCTACTGGCATTTCGGAGTAGACGAAGACTCCTTTATTTATTTTCAGCTTTTGCAATATGCTTTTGTTTAGAATAATTGGTCTTACTTGACCATTTTCTTTTTGTTTGAACTTGGCCGTTGGTCATTTTGCTATGGAAATTTCAGTCTTTATTTTTCAACTTCAATTTGCAGACTGTCTTGTGAACTGCTAGAGCAATCGGCTAGTGTCTTGGATGTATGTTTCCCTTAGGATTTTGGCAAAAGTCAGGGTCCTCCTTGAGGGACTCCGGGCGTATTATGCATTTTCCAGAAAACGCTTAAGACGCTTCCGGTCGTTGCCCTGCGTCTCCCTTAGGACGCTGCTTATGGACAACTGTATGACTATCCTGCCCCCTTAGGAAATGGATAGGAACATGGATACCCCCCCTTAGGAAATTCCTGGCGTACCCTGCAACCCCCTTAGGATGCTGCTTCGTGGGCTGTGTCTCCCGAAGAACGCTTCTGGTCGCCACCCTGCGTCTCCCTTAGGACGCTGCTTATGGGCAACTGTTTGGCTATCCTGCCTCCCTTAGGAAACGGATGGGAACCTGGATACCTCCCTTAGGAAATTCCGGCGCACCCGGCGTCTCCCTTAGGACCCTTCTTTGCAGGCTACGTCTCTAAACGGACGCTTTTAGTCGTCGCCCTACTTCTCCCGAAGGACGCTGCTTATGGGCAACTGTTTTTTTTTCTTCTTTTCAGACACTCTGGAATGAGAAACTGAACTTTTATTGATGTTTCATGAGATTACATCGCTTTATTCGAAGTGGACATAACTGAATAAAGAAATTGGAAATTCCAGCAGTTGCTTCTCTTCTTCAGAAATGCGCAATACTCAGTCATCTGCTGGGGACTGAGCAGGTAGGAGGAAGCGTCATGGATAGTATCTTTGGAGGTGGTAGGAGTTCCATTGTCGCGAATCTCCTTTCCTTCCATGGTGTTAAGCGTATAGCTTCCTCTGCCTCCGGACCAGCTGATTACATAAGGGCCTTCCCAATTGGATTTCATCTTTTTAGACCCTTGTCTTTGTGCAGTGATGAATGCCTTTCTTAGCACGAGGTCGCCTGGTTGAAACTGTCTGATCTTGGCTCTTTTGTCGTAGTAAGACTTCAATCGCTCGCCTTCAAGTAAGTCAAGGTTGAGTCTCATCTGCTCGGAGTTCTGCTGAATATTGCCTATTTCAATGTCTATAGAGGGGACAGTGACGTGAGGAGGAATGATCGCTTCAGTTCCATAGACGAGGGAAAATGGGGTCTCGCCAGTCGATCTTCGCTTGGTGGTGCCATAAGCCCATAGTACTCCAGGGAGCTCATGTACCCATTTTCCTTCGGCGCCTTCTAATCTTTTCTTTAAACAGTCCAATATTATTTTATTGGATGCCTCGGCCTGGTCGTTGCCCTGAGGATATCTCGGAGTAGAAAGATGCTGCTTGATGCCATACTTTTTGAAGAAGGCGGTGATTTGCTTGCCAATGAACTGTGAGCCATTGTCAGTGACCAGCGACTGTGGGCAGCCAAACCGGCAGATGATATTCCTCCAGATGAATTGCTCCACATTGGCTTCTTTAGTAGAGGATAGAGCTTCAGCCTCGATCCATTTAGTAAAGTAGTCGGTGGCAACGATCATCATTTCTTTCTTGGCGGGCGCTGGTGGCAGGGGATCCACTAAGTCGATGGCCCATTGCATGAATGGCCCTGGACTGTTTTGCGGATGGTAAACTTCTGCAGGCAGATTAGGAATTGGTTTGTACCATTGGCAGGGATCACATTTTTTGACATATTCAGTGGAGTCATGGCGCATGGTGGGCCAGAAATAGCCTACGCTTAGAGCCTTTTGGGCGAGTGACCTGCCCCCAGAGTGATTGTCACACTCGCTGTCATGAATTTTGTAGAGGACCTCAAGTGTTTGAGGGTATTTTATGCAAGTGAGATGAGGGCCAGAGTATGATCTGCGAATGAGCTTGCCACCTTGCATGTAATATCTCGCGGCTTTCTGTTGGTCCTTCCTAGCTTCGGACTTATCCGTTGGCAGATTTCCATTCACTAAGTAGTCGATGATGGGGTCTTGACAGCAGGGGTCCTCATCAATTTGCATTGAGTCGATTGGCTCTATTTCTTCGATGCGTGGCCGGTCAAGGTGTTCAACTGGGATGGAGGATCTGAATTGGGTGTTTAGTGCTGATCCTAGGGTCGCCAATGCATTTGCATGAGTGTTTTCTACCCCTGGAACTTGTTGGATGGTGAAAGTAGGGAATTCTTTCAATAGTCCTTGGACTTTGTCGAGGTATTGGATCATTCTTGGATGCTTTGCCATATACTCACCTGAGGCTTGATTCGTGATCAGCTGTGAGTCTGAGTAGATGGCCAATCTCTTGATCGACAGTTCTTTCGCTAAGCGCAGTCCTGCAAGCAATGCCTCACATCTGCCTCATTGTTTGAAGCAGAAAAGCCTAGTGTGATAGCTTGTTCCAACAAGGTTCCGTCTGGGGCGATTATGATGACTCCTGCTCCCGATCCTTTATGATTTGATGCTCCATCTACATGCAACTGCCACATGTCGTTAGGTAGGTTCGGATCGATGGGGGAGGTGTCGTCTGCTTTTTCCTTGCTTTTCATGACAATCTTCCTTTCTTCGGCTGTCGGAGTAAACTCTATAACAAAATCTGCTAAAGCTTGGGCTTTTATAGCAGTCTTCGGCCGGTAGAGGAGGTCGTATTGATTGAGTTCGATAGCCCATTTCATGAGTTGCTGAGAAGCGTCGGGGCTGTGAAGGATCGATCTCAAAGGAAATTCTGTTATGACAATAATCCGGTGTGCTTGATAGTAGGGCCTTAGTTTTCTAGCAGAAACCACAAGCGAAAAAATGAGCTTCTCCATTTTCGGATAGCGAGTCTCTGCATCGAGGAGAGCTTTTGAAGTGTAGAATACCGGATGTTGTGCCCCCAGCTCTTCTCTGATGAGGGCTGAGCTGACAGCTGAGTCGGACATCGCCAGGTAAATGTACAAGTCTTCGCCTTGTATCGGTTTTGAGAGTAGGGGAGGTGAAGTGAGGTAGGTTTTCAAGTTTTGAAAAGCTTCTTCAAGGCTTTGAAAAATGGCCTGCACTTGTCGGTAGATCTTGATAGGAATCGGTTGAGAGCTGCCGCCCTACCCGTTAGACTTTGTATCTCCTTTATTGTGGCAGGTGACTTCATGTTGATTTGGATGTGCCTCAATTCCTCTTTGGATGACTAAGTATCTGAGGAATCAGCCGGACGAGACTCCAAATGTGCATTTGCTCGGGTTCAACTTCATGTTGTATCTGTGGAGTAGGCTGAATGCCTCGGCAAGGTTCTTGAGGTGGTCTGCTCGCTCGGGAGCTTTGACTAGCATGTCATCTACGTAGACCTCCATAGTCTTGCCAATTTGCTCATTGAAAATTTTGTTCACCAGCCTTTGGTAAGTTGCTCCGGAGTTCTTTAGCCCAAAGGGCATGACTTTGTAGCAGTATGCACCCCTTTCAATTATGAAAGAGGTCTTTGTCTTGTCGCCTTCATGCATCATGATTTGGTTGTAGCCGGAGTAGGCGTCCATGAAGCTTAGCAGTTGGTTGCCGAAAGTTGAATCGACGAGCTAATCAATTCTAGGCAGTGGAAAGTTGTCTTTAGGGCACGCCTTGTTGAGGTCGGTGTAGTCGACGCAGACTCTCCACAGCCCTTTATCTTTCTTTGTTACTAGAACAATGTTCGCCAGCCATTCTACGTAGGAGACTTCTTCAATGAAACCGGCCGCTAGAAGCTTGTCGATCTCGGCTTCAATGATGGCAACCCGCTCAGGGGCAAAGTTGCGTCTCTTCTGTGCTACATGCTTGATAGCTGGGTTGACGTGTAGGCGATGGCAGATGATCTGGGGATTAATGCCAGGCATGTCGGATGCCGACCATGCAAATACGTCCTTATTGTTCTGGAGGAAGGCTGCAAGCTCTGCCTTTTCCTCCTGGCTTAGGCGCGAGCTAATCCGTGCTTTTCTCTCTGGCTTGTCAGGATCAAAGGTACTAGCTTAACATCCTCCTCGGGCTTCCATCCTTCTTCAGGAGAGATATCCGGACGGATTCCCTTAACTTGATCCTGATTTTTGGTCTGCTCGACCGTCAGGAACGAGATCTGCTTTCTCCTCTGCTTGTCCTACTCCCTTTAGATCTGCCTGATTCACAGGGAGGAACTGTGTTTGTTTGCTTTTTCTTTAGCCCTTGAGTTGAGCATTTCCTTGCCATTGCCTGATCGCTGTTGATTTGACCGATACAGCCCCCAGGGATTGGGTAGCGAATCTTCTGATGTGTGGCGGATGTGACGGCGTTGATCTTACTGATCCATGGTCTGCCCAAAATGCCATTGTAGGGTGAGATTTCATGAATGACCATGAACGTTTGCGAGTTGATTACAGGTGGGGCGTAGATGTCGAGCTCTATTGTGCCTACGGTAACCGTTGTTGCTCCATTGAATCCAGTCAGTGACTTGGCTGATTTATTGATCTTTGCCTCTAAGCCCATCTGTTGGATAACTGTCAATTGTAGGATGTTGGCTATACTGCCCTCGTCTGCATGGATTCGGTCGACCATGGCCTAAGCGATTTGATTGCTGATGACAAGAGCGTCATTGTGTGGTAGATCAAGGCCAATTAGATCTTTATTTTCGAAGCCGATCACAAGGTCGTCTTCTGCCAGTGGGAAACTAGTGGAGACCTAGGAGATCATGGTGGCTTGTTTGATTTTTCTCTTCTTTTCTTTTTTGGTCAGCCCGGACTCCTCGGAGTCGGCTAGGATTGTGTTAATCCTTATGACCTTCTGGGATGGCTCTTTGGCGGTATTGCGGTCCTCTATCTCCTGGATGGCCTGCTTCGCGATGAACTCTATGCAGTGACCTTCTCTCACGAGCTCTTCAAGATGTGCTTTCCAAGCAAAGCAATTGTTCGTATTGTGTCCGTGTGTCGCAAGGAAGGCACAATACTTCCTGGTATCCCTCTTATCCGGATCTCCTTTTAAGGGTGGCGGTCTTTTTACCCAAGGTTTGTCCTTTACTTGAGCTAGAATTTGGTGAATAGGGATGGAAAACTTGGTGTAGTTCTCTTTTGTCGTGGCATCACCTTGTGGGCGTGATTTGCGTTTGTCTTTGTCCCTACTGCCAAGCCTGTCACCTCTTTGGTCTGCCCGTTTGGTCGGCAGATCTTCCTACTCAGCGGACTTCTTTGCGGCGATTCGATCGTCATCCCAGAGCGCATAGCGTTCCGCGGTTGCGAAGACCTCTGCCAGAGTCTAGCTGGGAGTGATAGTCAGCTCGCGGTATAACTCATGTTTTGCTGGAAGACCTTTCTTGAATACAGAGGATGTGATTTGGTCATCGCACCCTACGATGTTGGCCTTTTCTGCTTTGAACCTCTTGATGTAATCTCGAATGGATTCATTGGGCTTCTTGAGTAGATTGAACAGATGATCAGGGTTCTTCTTGATCGTCCGATAAGAAGTGTATTCTTTAGTGAAGACGTAAGCCAGCTCCTTGAAGCTGCTGATCGACCCGGATGGCAGGGTATGAAACCAATCCTGAGCTGCTCTTTGCAAAGTCATTGCAAACACCTTGCACATTAACGCATCTTCGACTTTGTAGAGGATCATAAGGCTTTTGAAATGCTTCAGATGGCTTTCGGGATCAGAATCTCCTTTGAAGCATGTGAAAAGAGGGTGTTGAGAATCGTTTCGGAGGAGCAGCCTGCTCGATTTAGGCTGTAAAAGGTGAGGAGTTTGCTCGGTCTACCTCAACACGTAGTGCATCTTCGAAATTTCCGCCAATCTTTAAGTCTCGAAGTCGGTTGTTCACAAGCTTTTCAACGTCTTCCGCATACATGGCTGGTCGGTCACGTTGAGGACCTTTACGATTTGGGCGAGACTGAGTAACTTCCTCGGTGGTTTGCAAGAGTCGACCTTCTCATCTGCGCTGCCTAGGCGGCGTGTTGGTGGATTGCGCTTGCGAGGGATTCTCTGTAACCCGGCGACGAGAATTGGTTTTTCGAGAGCGGGTAGAAGAGCGCCTTTCGTCATGGTCCTCATTTTGAGAGTTATCAAGTTGAACTCCCTGAGGGCCTAGCCTTTCGTGGATATTTCTCTGCGAGTGGACAACGGAGTGCCTTTCTTCAAGATCCTCATTGCGATGGTTGTCGGTTTGATGTCCCTGGGAGCCTAGCCTTTCATGAACATTTCCCTGCGGACCTAAGCGGGCGTGGACATCAGATCTTGGGCCCAGCCTATCGCACACGTTGGTCCTTAAATTCAATCTGGATGGGAGACTTCGTCTGCTTTAAGTGTGGCTTGCAGATGCTTGCAACATGTCAGCAAGCTGATCACGTTGTTGTGCATCTCCTTGTCTGGTTACTCCTGCTCGACCTGCTTGGTGCCCGTTGAGCTGTCCACGGTGCGTTCGTCCATTCTTCTCTCTTCGCCCGGTTGTCCAAGGCCAAGATTTTGAGCCAAGCTGGTAGGTGGCATGGTGGTGAGAGCTGGTGGTGCCACCATGTCGATCGCGGGATAGTGGGTGGAGTGGCTTCGGGCCGTCACGGATTTAGCCATCGCAGCGGTTTTGCTCCTTGTACGCTTGCTTCAACTATGGTTGTTTGGAAGGCTTCGGTGGATTGGAAAATAGGAGGAACGGATTCCTTGAGCACGCTCGTGCTCTTAATGAAAGCACCAAATGTTTGTGCAAATAATCTCGCGGGAGAATATTCGCTTTGTGATCCTTTAACCTTCGATCTTCCTTTTATCTCTTCCTCGATTCCTGTAAAAAAGACTGGAGTAAATAGACCACACCCGGGGGGTGTTGGCCAAAGGCCCTCCGATGCCTAAGTTAGTTTGAGTGTTTGTAGGAAAACAATAGCTAAGCAAAGGGTACGGAGTTGTGTTTATGGTGTGAACCGGGCGGCCGGAGCCGTGTGTGTGGCCGGAGCCGTGTGTGTGGCCGGAGCCGTGTGTGTGGCCGGAGCCGTGTGGAGAAAATATGGAGAGTGGAGAGGGAGAGAGAGCTTTGAGTATTTTTCTCGGGTTCTGGAGAAGGTTTAGATGTATTAGGAGTAGGTTTAGATGTACCTTGAATGATTAATGAAGTAGTCTATTTATAGGAGCCTCGGGGCTAGGGTTTCGTAGAGATCGAGTCGGACTTAGATAATATCTGATTTAATGATATTATCTTCTCTTTATTGAAGATAATATCTGAATTAAACGATATTATCTCTTTTTATGAAGATAATATCTGAATTAATGATATTATCTTCTCTTTATTAGGATAATATCTTAATTAATGATATTATCTCATCAAATAAAGATAATATCCCATTAATTAAGATATTTATCCCAATTAATTAATTGGCCAAATAAACTGGTTCAATTAATTAATTTAAGAGATAATCTTCTTTTCCACGTGGCGTGCCCTGATTGGAGACGAAAATACATGCTCCCACAGCTGCTGCCCAGGCCGAAGTGGAGCAGAAGAAGGCCGAAGAGATAGTTGCTGCCCAAGCCAAAGCGGTTGAGTCATTTTGGAGTTCAGAGGAGCTGCGAAGTTACATCATGGATCAGATAGTGGATGAGCAGTTGCGTTGGGAGGAGAGGCTGGCGAGGTTCAACCCTTCAGTTGAGATTAACTTTGATATGAGTGGCGAGCCTCCTTCAACTAATTCTACCACCGATGCCACTCCAGAGCCAGCTACTACAGATGCCCCTTCTACCGAGTCTTGAAGGTGTTGCCTTCTTTATGTACTTTAGTTATTTGTTTGGAACACTATGTTTATTTCTGCTTTGTATGAACATTTGGTGTTGCTTGGGGCAATGTTATTTTGATTTGCTATGATATTAGACTTGTTGTCATTTGATATCAGTTGTGCTAGCAAAATGATAATCATGTGATTGATGAGAAATAGCCAGAGTCGGGCGTTTCATTAAATAGGTGCCGAAAGGCAGAAAATACAAGAGATGGTTGAGGCAAGGCTCAAGACTGAAGTCTAAGAAAACATAATGCCCTATGGTCTAGGTGTGTTTACTTATAGTAGTACTTGAGGTGATCAGCGTTCCACGAATGAGGCAAAGTCTTGCCCTTGGGATCACGAAGCTGATAAGTGCCGGGGCGGCAGACTTTTGTAATCTCATAAGGACTTTCCCATGTAGGGCCCAAAATACCTTCAATAGGGTTCTAGGTGGCCAAGGAAACCTTGCGCATGACCTAGTCCCCAATCTTGAAAGCACGGGGTTTGACTCGGGAGTCATAGTACTTGGCAATGCGCTGTTTGTATGCGACGTTGCGCATGTTGGATTGGTCACGAAACTCGTCAATGAAGTCAAGGTTCAAGGCTAACTGCTCGTCATTGGTTTCAGCATCATAAGTGGAGGTTCGGTATGTGGGCTGGCCAATCTCTACTGGTGCCACGACTTTGGTACCAAAGGAAATAGATAACGGTGTTTCTCCTGTTGAGGTACGGAAGGTGGTGTGGTAAAACCAGAGAACCTCTGGGAGTAGCTCTGGCCAGCAACCCTTGGCTTTGTTAAGCTTGGTCTTTAGAGTCTTCTTGATGATTTTGTTCATAGCTTCAACCTGGCCATTGGACTGAGGATGGGCTGGGGAGCCAAAGCAAAGACGTATCTTGAGGTTGGAACAAAATTGCTTAAACTTGGCATTGTCAAATTGTTGGCCGTTGTCTGTAATGATTGTGTTAGGGATGCCGAAGCGACATACAATATTCTGCCAGAAGAACGTTTCGATGCAAGCTGCAGTGATGGTTGCTAAGGCTTCAACTTCAGCCCACTTGGTGAAGTAGTCCACAGCTACAACTGCATACTTGACCTGACCTTTGCCCTCAGGTATAGGTCCAATGAGGTCAAGTCCCCATTGGGCAAATGGCCAAGGACTGATCATGGCTGTTAATGGTTCAGTTGGAAGTTGTGGGATGTTACCAAACCGCTGGCACTTGTCCTACTTCTAGGTGAAGGCCTGGGCATCAGTATGAAGTGATGGCCAGAAGTATCCCTGCCAAATGGCTTTATGTGCTAGTGAACGAGCGCCTGAATGATTGCCACATATACCTTCATGGATTTCCCTGAGGACATAATTACCTTCTTCTAGAGTTAGACACCGAAGGTAGGGGAGGCTGAAGCCGCGCTTGTATGGAGCGTTATTGATGATCAAATATTGAGCAGAGCGATAGCGAACACACCGTGCTTTAGCAAAATTAGCAGGCAATGTCTAGTTTTGCAAAAACTAAATGATGAGGTCCATCCGTGTAGGGCTGTGATCAATGGTACAAATGAGCGGGGCTTGTGTATTGGGCTGATCCAAGAACTCCATGTGGATGTTGCGATCGATGCCTTGCTCTATACCCGAGGCTAACCTAGCGAGAGCATCAGCATGGCTGTTCTCAGAGCGTGGCACCTGGCTTATGAGATAAGTGTCGAAAGCTGTAAGTAGATGGCGGGTATGTTGGAGGTAGGCTGTCATAGAGACGTCCTTGGCAATGAAGTCCTGGTTGACTTGATGGACAACGTACATGGAGTCGCTGAAGATCTGAATTTTCTTAGTGCCCATCTCCTTGGCTAACCGAAGGCCAGCCAAGAGTGCTTCATACTCAGCGACATTGTTTGAGGCATGGAATTTGAAGCTGAGGGCGTATTCAAGGACAACTTTGTCTGGGGAGATGAGAACAAGGTCGGCCCCATATCCCTGGGCATTAGAGGAGCCATCCACATATAAGGTCCACAAGGGCTGGGTCAGGTCGAGGGTGCTGTTGTTGGCGACGTGGACCTGGCTCGAGATAGGATTAGGTGTGATTATGATCTGGGGAACAGCCAATACTTGGGGTTCTGTGAATTCTGATATGAAGTCAGCAACAGCCTAGCCCTTCGTAACTGGGTGGGGTTTGTAGTTGATATCAAATTCACCCAACTCAATAGCCCACTTGACCAACCTGCCAGAAATCTTTGGCTTTTGCAGTACCTGCCTTAGTGGCTGGTTAGTTAATACATGGATGGTGTGAGCCTGGAAGTATGGTCTAAGGCATATGGCTAACACCACTAGAGCAAAGGCCAGCTTCTCGATGTCTGGGTATCAAACCTCAGCATCTTGCAATCCCTTGCTAACATAGTGCACCGGATGTTCAGTACCTTCGTAGGGGAGGATGAGCACTAAGCTAACTGCGGTGGGCGAGACAGAGAGGACATTGTGAGGATGTGCCCAGGATCAAGAGTTGACAATAAAGGGGCCCAGCTCATATACTCCTTGCCGCTGAAAGCCTTGACACATTCGGCAGTCCAGGTGATATTTCGCTTGTTGCCCTTAAGTGCCTTGAAGAAGGGGTGCAGCTATCAATGGCCTTGGAGATAAACTTGGTCAGGGTCGCAATGCGTCCAGTAAGGCTCTGGATGTCCTTGACTGTCTTGGGTATCTTCATGTCCAAAATGGCCTAAATCTTTTCTGGGTTAGCTTCAATACCACGCTGGCTGATCATGAAGCCAAGGAATTTTTCCGAAGCTACGCCGAAGGCACACTTCGTGGGGTTGAGCCTCATTTTATACTGCTTCAGGATGGTGAACATGGCAGATAGGTTGGAGATGTGCTGGTCTGCAGTGCGACTTTTGACTAACATGTCATCAACATAAACCTCCATGGTGTTGCCAATCAGTAGGGCAAAGATGCTGTTCACAAGACGCTGATAAGTAACCCCGGCGTTCTTGAGGCTGAAGGGCATAACCTTGTAGCAGTAGAGGCTACAGTCGGTTATAAATGATGTATGGGCTTGGTCATCAGGGTGCATGAAGATCTGGTTATACCCGGAGTAAGCATCTATGAAGCTAAGTAGGGCGTGGCCAGCT